ACAAACTCACTAAGTTGACTATATCGGAATTGTAGTCAACTTTGAATTTCTTCTCGCACCATGTTGATTTGAACAATGAAGTCATGCATGGTTGTTTCGGTTTCATTCATCATGCTTTCGTTCTTGGCAGAAATCCCAAATACGCTTCTGTTGCATAGTGCTAAAAAACACACGAAGACGAAAGTAACTGGTTTGTCTTCACCTGCAGCTGATTTTATGGAAGCGCTCTGAAAAGCAAATTGTCGGCATCTCAAAGATGAGAAAGCGATGCGGTTCTTAGTGTCATCTGGGAACCACCATATTTTTAGCACATTCAAAAACGATGTGAGAGTGGAACTGATTTTTTGATTTTTCAGTTTGCCAATAAAGTTTAGTCAAGGGAGTTTAGTTAAGGAGAGCATTTGTGATCAGGGAATAGTTTACAAATGATTTCTGGGCGCAGTTCATCAGGTTACTATCTCAACTAATGAACAAAGATTTCTCAAAGAAAAAAGGAATGAATTATATCTTTTTTTCATTTTGGTTTTTAATTGATTTTTCATGCAAAAATGAAAAACAAAATGAATATAATAGTAGGTATCAGTCTTAAAATCTTCCGATGATTTTTTGAATTTGATAGCGCTTTTTTTATAGGTGAAAAAAGAAAGGATATTAAAATTTGCATGTTGTTCAGATGGGTGGAGTCAGGAATTTTTCACCCACACATGGAAACAAAAAAAAAGTTTTTTGAGAAATCAAAAATTTTTGGAACTTTCTGGTTTTCAAGATTTAGGGGAAATCCACATTTTTGAATTTTGAAAACTAAAAGAAAAAAATTTCGAATGTCAGCATACATAGAAATGATTGTGTAAAAAATAATTTAATGTGGATTTTATGACGTGTACCATGAATGAACAGCGGTCAGGTTTAATGGAACCAAAGATAAGGAAAACGGACACATACAGATTATTTGATAAAAAGTTTCAGTTTTTGTTGCTTCAACTAATGCGCCGTCAATTTTTC